AGCGACAGCACCAGCCATTCAAGCGCCCCATAACATGCTCTGGGACCTTTTGAGCCTCCCAACTCTATTGAGACCACGACCCCTAGCTTGCACACCCTCGCAGACGAAGTGCACCTATCCCCGGTTGCGGGACTTTTGGCTCGCCCGGGCTAGTACGCGGCGAGGTTGCGCGGCGGGATGCGCGGCGAACGAACGATTCAAATGTGACAAGGGTTCGTAGGTTCTGCAACGGAATTCTACTCATTAAAGAGTGCACATTGCGGATAAACTCCTATGATTCTGCTGGTTTGAAAATCTTTCCGCTCGCGGAGGTTTGAAGCAGCAGTATCGGTGAGGAGATTTCAGCGCAAGGAGATGAGTGAGGACCTTCATGGAAATGTCACTACTACCATCAAAGCGAATAAGAAAGATAAAATTAGGAGTTTTTGCTGAGATACCTTACATGTTAGTGTCATCCATACATGCTCCTGATTGCGGCCTTCATTTCCTTAGAGAAAACATCCAAAAACAGGGCCGATTGGAGGTGATCCTAACACTAACAAGGGAGGTCGTTCAGGGTGTGCCAAGCTTTTTCAAAATGGTTTCTTGCATGACATTGGGGCACATATGGGGACCACAGAAGCATGGTTCATTTTTCCTGAACGGCCCTCTGAATACCAGAAAAGGGGTCCCTAGTTCGATTCCTCGTGGTGACAAATTTTTGCATTTCGAGTTGACGTTTCCAAAATTCGCGCAAAATGGAGTTAGCATGAATTAGTACCATATTCATGATTAGGACCGTCAGTAACCCTTACAAATAGACTTTGATTGAAAAACTGGTGAAAAAGGTGTGACTAGATCTAGACCCGTTTAGTTAATGACTACTGTGCAATCTTCAGAAAATTCATGTGAAAAAGAAACATCACCTCAATGGGAGAGGTTTTTTAAATCCGATAACCTGTAATACAGAATGGCTGTTAATCAGTTATTCAATCTATACGGAAGCATCAAACTTTTCGTCGCATAGGTTGCCGCTGTTAATGGGAGTTTACGGCAAAATATTCCTTAGATGTCCCCCCATAAGCAGAAGCAGGCCCTCCTTCACTGCCCTCACCGTCTTCAGAATATGACGTCATCTGCCATCACCGTCGAGCTCAAGGAGGCCTACCGTAATCGCTCCAGCCTGAAGCTGCTACATAATTTTCAATAGATTCGGAGACACTGACCGCCGTATGCAACTTTCGACCAGCGTTTTGGACGACGTCGTGATATGACCCGTCTACGACCTCGTTCAGCTCGTTCCGCGAACCATGTTTCCGTGGAGAATCTTCTGCTGTACGTGGAGAAAGCTGTTATGTGCGAAATTGCTCTAGTGTGACAAATGATCAGTAGTGATCAGACTTTTCCAAATCGTCAGGTAGAGCACAGTGATTGCCACAACCGAGTGGTTGGTGTGTCGATCATCTTCAAATAAAAAAAGTCAACGCTGAGCAGAGTGAAGCGCCGTTGCACTGTGATTTGAGAGAGCATGCCCTCGCCCATCTTCTGGCCAATCCTTCTAGCATGACTTGCGGAACATTCCAAGCAGTACTCGTAAAAATTAAGGGCACGAAGAGCTTTTCGCGAAATCGGTGTAATATCCATAACAAGTAGCGAGACAACGAGCTGGACGGTTGGCTGAAATTGCAAAGGTGGATGCTACGTCAACAAACATGTTGCGGAATTTTCGGAGTTTTCAAAAGCAATTTCAAGCACAAAATGTATTTTGCTGCAGGATTTTTGACCCCACCTGATATAGAGTAGGGATAGTAGAATGAAATGAGTAATAGTTCGCGATATAGTGCGGACTCTTGGACCAAGCACTTTCAAAGGTGAGCAATAGCTGGCCAAGGTATTAGACCCGCACTTCTACCCAAGGCAATTCATAGGGGCTTCACGCGGACGGAGGTCCGATTCGGAAATGGTGTGACGACTGCTCCCAGACAGCCAGTAGTGGAGACACGGACGGTTTGGATAAAAAAAAACGCTCCACCGACATGGTCTCGGGAAAGACGTTAAGCTCCTAGGGTCGGCCTCCTCGCACTGTCTAATGAAACCGACCTGTTATCGGCTCTAATTGCTACTCACGCACCATCGCCGGTACCCGCGTGCGGGGCCAAGACACATGCAGAGCGCAGTAAGCGCATGCGCAACGCATGGCGCACTGGCAAACGAGCACAAGTGGGCCGGGTCTGCGGTAGACCGACGGCCTTCGCATCTGCGGCACACATATGTGGAAGTCTTTCCAATTGCTTCGATGTGTTTTGATTTACACAAATATATTCTGCCAAATGAATTTTACAGCTGCTCTTTTGCCTGCTTTCTTCCGGAAGTCTTGTACCAAGTAATATCTTAGAGGGGGATTCCTCCTGATCGGCATGGGCAGAATTTGTTTGCACAAACAAGGGGTTCCGTTCCTTCCACTTCGAACTCCTATCTCCCATAAAATGCATTACTCACCTCTCAAAATTGCGTAAAAGATCTACCTGCCATTTCATCAGGATGTGGTCTCGGTCCATGCATTGGAAAAACGATTACGTCACATAAGTGCCGCAGATCAGGAATGTCCACAGCTTCAAATACGCGGACGTCGCCGGCAACAATGCAGGGGTTTTTCGTGAGCAGTACTTTTCCTTAAATGCGAAGTTTACGATTAATAGGCGGTACATCAGAAATCAATGGTGAGGTGGTCAGTGATACAAGGACGAAGGCAAAACTATGAGAAACGGCCCGAAACGCTAGGCATGAGACCCCTTTGTTGCCATCGTAAAACGTTCAAAAAAGTGATGCATCAAGAATTTTTGACTCACTCACCAGTAACTATTTTTTTCGCCGCGTTTGGTGGTGGCGTTTTCAGGTTTAAATTTTCGGTGTACTGCACAAAAACCTGACCATATTGCAACTGTCCAGTCTCGTCTACCACGCCCAACATGGTACGTCCTTTGTCAAACGGAATTTGGATCTGTTGTTTACGCATTTGTTTCGCTGAAATGCAACACAGAACCTACCGCCGATTCCAATTAAT